CTACCTACATGCATACTCGCGTAAGACCCTTGGGAAGGCAACTTGTATTTCTAACTTATTCTTTAGAGACAATGCACTTCTTTTAAAGGTTTCAAACATAAAATTGAAGCCAGGTACAATAGACCATGCCTACTCAGGAGGGTGAAGCAAGAGTACCGCCTAAGAAAACAGGGATTTGAGGTTAGCCTGAGCAACAAAGAGAGACCCTGACTCTAAAAGCTAAGCCAAACTAAACACAAAGACCAAGACAACAAAAAAATTGAACTTTAGCTCTCAAAAGTCTTATGACTAGCCAGGGTAGCAGTGGTCAAGCCTTTAATCTCAGCACTCAGGAGGCAGAAGTAGGTGGATCTCTGTGAGGTCAAGGCCAACCTGGCCTACAGAGAGAGAGTTATAGGGCTGTTATACAGAGAAACCCTGTTTCAAAACAAAACAAAAACAAACAAACATAAAGAGCTTAAACCAAAGTTAAATGAGGTTATAAGGGGAGGCCCTCAACCCCACTGGACCAATTACCTTGTAAAAAGAAAGGTGACAAAAAAGAGAGGTGTCAGAGCTCCCCACACACACCTGCATACAAGCAAAGGTCACACAAAGACACAAGGGAGAAGGCAGTGACAGTTTGCAAGCCAGAAAGAAGGTCCTCACCAGAGCCCAAATGCACCCAACCTTTACCTAGCATGCCTAGGCTCTAGACCAGGAAGAAAATGAACCTGTGCTGTATGAAGCACCAGTCTGTGGTATGTTGTGATGTCCGCTCACTATGGTGTGAATGAGAAATGATTCTCCTATCTTGAGGCTCCTGTTTTTGAATACTTGGTCCCCACCTGGTAGTACTGCTGTGGAAGGTTATAGAAACCTGGGGACATGCCTAGCTGGCATGCATACGCCAATAAAGGCAGACCTTGAAGGTGATAGATGCTTCTGGATCTGACTGGAGCTCTCTGCTTCTTGAATTGCCAAGGTCTGAGGAAGACTATCCCATAAGTTTTCACCCCATAGCCTCAGCTGCTCTCCTCCACCTTCTCTGGGTTGTGTTCTCTGAGCCAAATAAATCCTTCTTCCCTTCCATCGCTTCAGAGAAAGCTTTGCCAGAGCACAGAGAAAATTGTATACAATCAAAGCAGATCTTGTAAGGTCTAAATTGTTGTGGGTTTTGTTTTGGAAGTTGTTTTGTATGTTTTATTTGTGGTAGTGGTTTTTGTTTGTTTGCTTGTTTGTTTGTTTGTTTTGACACTCTGGCTACAGTGTTCTAGAAGAAGGGTGGTCCTTGCATTTTCAATATAACTAAATTCTTTGGTGACACCATAGGAAACCATTGACCATACTTTACTAAAGAAGTATTGCTACATTCATTCAATAAAACCATAGAAATCAACACATATTTAAGTAGTACACACACATACACAAAAAAATGGTATCATCAAGCAATATAAACAAGAATGACAAAATTCAAAGTAATTTCTAAAACTAAAAGACCCTTCTAAAGAGGGGTTTTGACAATAAAGAAGACTCAAAATACATTACTATTTTACTTCATTTGGTTATTCAATACACACTTACTGGGCATGGGATACATACTAAGTACTAGTCTGGACACTGGAGATCTTGTATCCTGCCTCTTATAATGACTTTTAGAACCTACTTTTCACACTGGGTCTCCTTGCCCAGTATTAATACATGGGAGATGCTTAATCTTACTGCAACTTGATAAGTCATGGGAGGCCTGCCCTTTCTTAAACAGGAGGGGTGGATAGAAGAGTGGGAACAGAAGGGAGGGTGAAGGGAAGGACAGGAAGGAGAAGAGGGAGGAGAAATTATGGCCAATGAATGAATGAATGAATTTTTAAAATGAAAGACCAAAAGAACAGATTAGTCCCCTCTTTACTGTAGCATTTATCCCAGGAAGGAGTTTATGAGCCAAGACTGACAAGTGTATAGAAAGTCAAACTGGTCCAGAATGGTGGGAGCAGGTGTCAATTCCTTTGTTCTCCAGTTTAGTACACGCCCTTCTAAAGGCCAATGTGGGGAAGAGGAGAATAGGCCAGTGGTCCTATGGAAGCAGATAGCAAGAGCAGCAAGATAGAAAGCAAGGTCAGAAATGAGAAGGGAACCACTGAGTGAGTGTGCTTAGGAGGAGAGGCAAAGAGCCTTCTAATCAGAAGCATGAGTCCACAGGGCTCAGAGATAGAGGATCACCAAAGCTCCAAGTTTCAGCTCTTGCCAAACCAGAGATAGCCTCACTTTCCATGCAAAGTATTTTACATTTTATCCTAAAGGAGGTAGTGATCCATGACTAGATTCTAAGAGAAGCCATGACACATTTTAGGAGCAATTTGAAGAAATCATGTGGAGAACACCCTGAAATGGAGCAAGAACAATCAAGACACTACTCCAGAAACTCAACTAAGGGACAGGGACATGTCCCGAATAAAGGAGAAAATGTGCCATGCTGGGCATTCTTGGAGATATGAAAACAGCACATGAGCTTTGCTCTCCTGAAGTTAAAGAAGTAAGACTATTAGGCACATGAAATACTAATTACAACCAATATGTGGAATATAATGTGTGAGCTGCCTGTACACAATGACTAGACTCCCTCCTCGTAGCGCAGTGACTATTCCAGAGGTGAGGGAGATTGCTGGCTGGTGAGAGGCCACCTGCAAGCACAGGTCAGGACTTCATTCTCCAGTGGTGTCAAATTGACCTAAACAAGAGGAATGACTCAGAGGAAAGTCCAGGACAGATTAAAAACCAGGTCTGGAAGAAATGGACAAACAGTGTTGACAAGCAGTGGAAGATAAGGCCGGAAATAGTTCTGGCAACTGTGAAAGGTCATTAGCACCTGATAAAGGGCACAGGAGATTAGCTTCATCCTGCTCAAAGGGGAGGCCCAAAGGAGGGTTTTTTTACCTGGGTCAGAGCAAGGTCTTAATGAGGCAGATACTTTGGAAAGAGTCTTGTGCCAATGGTGTTTAAGACACAGTGCAACCTAGATGCCCCTCAACTGAAGAGTGGATAGAAAAAAATGTGGTACATTTATACAATGGAGTACTATTCAGCAGAAAAAAACAATGGAATTTTGAAATTTGCAGGCAAATGGATAGCACTAGAAGAAACCATCCTGAATGAGGTAACCCAGTCACAAAAAGAGAAACATGGCATGTACTCTCTCATATATGGATTTTAGACACAGATCTGGGGAGTGCCAGCCTACAATCCCACGGCCAGAGAGTCTGGGGAACAGAACCTTCATCCAATGACTGATGGAAGCAGAGGCAGACTCCCACAGCTGAACACTGAACTGAAATCAAGGAACCCAGTGACAGACAGGGAGGACTGATGAGCAAACAGGTTAAGACTGGGGCTGGTTTAACCCCCAGAAACAGCTGACCTGACAAGGGTTAGCTCTTGAATCCCAGACTGATGCCTGGGAATCCAGCATGGGACTGATCCAGACCCCCTGAATGTGGGTATCAGTGAGGAGGCCTAGACAATCTATTGGGCCTTGGATAGTAGATCAGTATTTATACCTGGCATATAAATGGACTTTGGGTGCCCATCCCACAAGGAGAGATACACTCTCACCCTGGACTCTTGGAGAAGAGTCTAGGTTCTGCCTTGGATGAAATGACAGTGGACACCCCCATGGAGGGCCTCACCCTCCCTGGGAAATGAGGGGGTTTTTGGGGGTGCATAGGAGGGCACCAGAGGAGGGGAGGGAAAGGAGAGGGACCTGGGATTGACATATGAAGCAATCTTGTTTCTAATTTAAATTTAAATTTAAAAATAAAAATTTTTTAAAAAGATACAATGGAAAGAGCAAGAGGGGCTTGGAATGAGAAAAGACCAGTTATGGGGCTGCCGCAAAGTGAAGCAGGAAGAGAGGCTGGGTATGGAGGGACTGAAGGAAAAGAAACGGGGGGACAGACTTTCACAACAGCAGCACCTCAAGATATCACCCCTGCATCCTTCATCTCTGTCTCCAAGCGGAAGTCACAGGTGCCAATTCTCTATGGTGGCCGCTCTCCTCAAACCGTCCCTCAAGCCAAGGCTGTTTAGTAAGAACCCTGCTCTTGCCATGCACGAGCAATTACTGGTCTGAGACATATTTGTTTCTTTAAGTGACTGTGGCTAAAAAATTGGGGATAAAAAGCAGAGATCAGCCTTTGAAGTTCTGCCCTACATGAAAAAATAAAGCAAAGCCAGGTGCGAGGGAGGCTGTGAACGGGGAAGAAAAGGCCAAAAGGTAATTTTCCATATATTTCTCTCAGGAAAGTCTAAGTATTCCTTATAGAAATCCTTTCCCTGAGGAGAGGGGTTGTTCAGAGGGTCTAATTAAACAGTGTGTCAAAGTATTACAAAATGCACGAACTATTCATGAACACGTGTTAGACATTATAAGAAAAATATGTGCTATTGTCCCACAGTTTTCTCTGACACTTTTGATCTCTGCTTCGAGAAGGCATGCTACTGCCCCACTGCTACATTGGGTTGCTTTAAAGTTACCAGTGGAGAGGATCTGGAGGTGATACACAGGCTGTGAAAGTAACAGAGAGGCTCACTCGAAAACTACACGCCTTCAAGGGCTTATTTCTTAGCCATCAACTTCATAACTAATTGATCATGTTAATAAAACCTGTAATGGGTTACAGCAAAATACCATCCCATTCTCCTTACAAATTAGTGTACTGAACTACTTAAAATCAATCACTTTCATGTAAATTTTTACTTAATGATGCATGTTGTATTTCTTATATAAGGAGGAAAATTAACAAAGAAAATCCATTTGTACGCTGTATGACTTTCTAATTTTTATCTTTCTCCCCTTGCAAAAACTACTGTACTTGCTGTGTACAGAAAGAAAGCAAGTTGCCTCGTGTCAGTTGTTTGGATTCATATAAGACCTAATTGCCTCCTACAGGATAATTTTGCCACCAGTTTACAATTAGCATGCATTTCTCATGCATGAGTTGACCCAATTACATAACAAATTTTACCTTTGGGGATTCCCCTTGACTGCTTGTCTTCTGTCCACCATACAACTCAATTTCACACTGTCAGCAGCTGAACATGGTTACAGTCAGTTTCTGTCAAAATGATTTATTTAAATTACAAACAGAGACCAAATCCCTAGATAACTATCCCTACCCTCTCACGCTCACCCTCACATTCAACTTAACTTTGAATCAAATGTTTTAATAGTCCATAGACACTGTATTCAATTATTTAGTTCCAATAATCCAATATTTCTGAAGCTAACTCATAAAGTCTAGGGGAACTAAATCAGCAGTGTCCTTGTGAGTTTATTAATGGGTGTATAATTTATTTTACATTCTAAGTCAATGAAAATTTATGTGGCTATATCAAAAGAGTTAGAATTAATTACATTTCAGTATCAAATTACAGGCAGCTTTTGATCTTAGCTTTTCTTGCAAAGCAAGCTATTCTTATGAATGGGTATACTGGGCTACAATTGGTAGCACAAAAAAAGTATAAATGGAAAAAAGGATATATAAATTATAGGCACTCACAGAGTAGGAGAAAGTCTGGTAGGCAGCCGTGTAAGGACAGTCACATAGGCACACAAAACTTTTCCCAATGTGCAGCAAGGACAGGCACAAATGCAGGCAGATCTGATCATCATACACTTACTATTTCCATCAGTCTGAGAAAGCCTAGGACTCTCTCACTGGTTTCCTTTTCTTTGCTCTTCATATGATACTTTTCTCCCACCTGTGATGAATTAGAAAATAAACACCTAGTTTTTATCTACATCATGAAGCTGTAAAAACCTCTTTGGGCTAAATTTTACCATTTTACTTCCCAATTCATCCCCAGACTGTGTGAGCTAATTGAAAGTGCAGCCTCTATGCATGCATAAGCAGGCACAAGGACTCCATCAGTCATCTCCGGCAGGCCCCATCTAGTCCCTGCACTGTGTGCTGAGCACACTGCCTTGCTACCCTGCTCAAGTACCCCAGGTGAATGCATGCTGAGAGCACTTGCCACCCTGCTGCAGGAACCCTAAAGGCCCACTCTGTTTAGAGTTTAAAGGGTGGGAACCACCTGAAACTAGAGCTGTAACAACAATCTCTATATGGACGAGATTAAAGATGTCTTAATGTTCCCCATAGGCACAGCATTCGATTCACTTCTGTACATGTACCTTCCTAAATTATGGTTAATAAACACACAAGGATATGCAAGGATTGGGAGGGGTAAAAGGAGCCATAGAACAACTGAGTGACTTAATTGTGAAATCCCATAGAACCCTGAGATCCTAAGACAGAACTTTCCACAAAGCTTCCTAGCAGCAAGCTGACGCAGGTAGACTTGAAACAAAACCTGAACTTGTAAACATTGTCCTCTATTAAAATTTTCAGCTAGTATCCCAACTACCCATTAAAAAAACCTCTAAGCCACAAAAGCATACACAGTGAGTCAAACTTCCTCTGATATGAACATCTTGAATTAAAATGAAGATACCATCAACATCCATCACTAGAGAAAATGAGAACTTTATTTCAAAAGCCAAGTTCTTTCCTATGGGTGAATAAATTCCAAAACCCACATCTTTTTCTTGTTCTTTCTGCAGCTATCTTGGGTAATGTGGCAGAAGCACTTTACATGCCAGTACTTAATAAGTCTCTTGTGTTTGCTGTGTTGTCATTACGGGTAACAAGATAAAGAAGGCAGGGCTAACCCTTATTTACTTCTTTTATTATACAAAATTTGAAAATTAGGGGTCTGCTTTATCTCACACCCCTGTAACATTTGCAGACTGAGTGGGTATTTCCAAATGACTTCGATTCCTAGACAAATGAGCATGAGAGTATCTGAAAATTTTTCATAACAATGACAGACACACACACAAGCAATCAAAAATGCCCACTCATCCATAACATATTACCCCAAACGCCTCGGAGTTATTAAATTCACAGCTTCATGTCTTTATAGTTTTCCTCAGTCCAAAGGAGATTAACAGCAGCTTAGAAAGAGTCACTAAATATCCAAAGGTAAAATGATCTGGAATATATTCTATAAAGTAGATCACAAAGGAAAATATAGACTATAATTGTCACTCAGCTCCTCCCCATCACCTGGGGTCTAATGGAAGACTCTGCTCACAACTCTCACCATTTCTTGTTATCTGGGTGAGCTCCACTCAAACATCTCTAGCAGGAAGAGTCCAGAGTCTTCCCAGTTTAGACACTTGCCCACTTCTTCCTCTCAAAACAGAAACAACCCAGGCCACACTCAAAACTATCTGTGTGGGTTTCCCCAAATATTGTTCAGTGGGTTTAAATGAAAGTGGTCTGGAATAACCAACATGGTGGTTTTCAGATCAAGTCAGATTTTTAACAGGAAGAGACACTGGAGTAATATGGAAAGCCCAGGGCAGAATGGAAAAATTCCATGAAGTTGTGGTCTTATAAATGAGTAATAAATTCACCAGACCTTGGAATATTGTGCAGCTTCCCTTCTTCAAAAGTAGCGCCTTAATAGAAATATTGTAAAGTCTTTTCTTTACTCTAATCCAATCTTTGATAGGCCTCATTGAGTCTAAATGAACAACTACCGTGATTACTACAATTGCTAACACCAAGAGAATGCAAAAGGGGAGTGGTTTTAAGATATGGTCTAAATTAGATGCCTTTACAGCTGACCATTGTCTGTCTCATAAGCCATATCTCATTGCTGTTTTGAATAGACTACAATGTACATGATAATTATAGATTTATACATACCTGCATTATAAGGGGTTTGGCATAATTAAGAATGGATCTGCAAACGACCTCTGGCATTGAATGTAAAGTATATTCCTCCTAATGATAAAGTTTGGTGAAATGATCAGTTATTTTCTTATTATTTATGAATGTTGATTTAATTTGAACATAAATGAAAAGGCTTACCTTTGAATGAGCAGCAATCCTCGTGTTAGCTGTCATGTGGATGTCTTAAGTAGAGTTGCTCAGTTCTTTGAGAAGTGAATTTCTATGCTACTTGAACATTTCAGATCGAATTGTAGTGGGTATAACATTTTAAAACTCTGAATAGAACTATCTGTGAAATACATCCTTAGTTTGTATTTTTAAAGCAATAATAGGGTTTTGGTTTGAGGAAAGAATGAATGGGAGAAAATGAGGGTAATTATCTTTGTCATTCACTATTGGCAGTCTGAAAAGTCATAAGAAAAAACAAGGGACAGAAATCATCATGTCTTAGAAGTCAACTCCTTCTCTTTAAATGAAAAATTCAATTCTAATATAAAATGTCCACATAAAGATGAAACAAGATAAACCTTGGAGGATGTGATAAAAAGGAAGACTTCTTCCCAGCCTTGAAATAACATTTTAAGCATCAATTTCTGTTCTTGAATGTTTGACAAATGAGATTTTCTCAAAATACATGCTAAACTCTAGCTGCAAATAGCATGTGTGTGTGTAAATATACATAGATGTGCATGTATCTCATGACCATGGCCCAATATCAGTAATTTAAATCCATCTGCTAACTATAAGCATTTCTTAGAAATTAGGGCTATATTACTTATAACATCTACATGCACAAAGTATGTATATACACATACTTGTAATACCTGTACAAGTGACAGCCACAATCTCATGAAACGGTGGTATGAGCTTTGCATGTTTGCTCATAACTATATCATACACAGCTGTTGATTTCCATTCTGAATATCTGACACTGAACTACTCCTTTGCAGAAAAATACATTTTGACACATTTTATATAATACTGTGGAAGAAATATAATCACAAATATGAATTACAAAAGTTAAGAATGAACCATTTATCCAACTTTCTTAAGTATTGAATTCACATCCTAATGTGCCTTGAGCATTAGACTTCCAAGTAGAAAGTAACTACATATACAAATGTTTATTCCTAAAATTAGGTGCAACATGATTCACAGATATCTAAAGTATACATATAATTAAAAGAATACCAGAGTTTTCTTAATATTGCCAAACTACATATTAACTTTATATAGATATCTACAGAAAAAAAACTGTCAGAATTTTTAATTGCAAACATTTAATTTTGACCAAATTTGAAGGTTTGGAGACATCCAAAATATATAAAGAAGACACCGAATTGTAACTGGTAGGCTGTAGATAACTGTGAAGAAATCTGAGGGCAAGGATTTAGTAGGTGAAGTTGGCACGTTTTATGAATAGACCGAATACCACTTAGTAACAGATACGCTTCACACTCACTTAAGCTCCCATTCCCATCCAGAGACACATGCCAGAATCACCCCATCATCAGGAAAAGGGGCACCTACGTTACTGATTTGCTCCTGGGTCCTCTTCAGCCTCTGCAGCTCAGGGGTGTCTGTGACGATGCTGAAGCCCCTCCCTTTGCTTTCTTCAAAATCTCTTTTGTACTTGACCTGACAAGAAAGAGGAAATTTCATGTTTGCAAGCAGGAATCACAGATCCAATTCAGGATAGGCAGGGGCCACAGAGGATGCTGGAACTGGAACCAATGTCTACATGTACAGTCCAGCTCTCAGAAAGAATTACCCTGAGAGGCATGGGGTGGGGAGGGAACTAAGCCGACTAGGTGGTTTGTGTTCCAGAAGCTTTCCCTGTGACCAATCTTGTCTTCAAGAGGCTACCCAACTATTCTGTCATTTCTGGTTTCATCTGTTAAATGATAACAACAGAAGCTATTTAACTAAACGTAGGAAAAAGATCAAATGAGCCGGTAAATGTGTGTGGCTAATTAATACAGATAAGTATTTCACAATGGTTACTATTATCATCATTAATGCTGCTTTTTAAACTGCCACTACTGAAAAAAAGAAAGTAGAAATTAAATATTATATTTGATATTATAAATATAATACAAGGCCCATCTTGTCGGTGAAAAGGCAGCACTTGGAGCTTAGGCTGCCCTGAGTAGGAGGGACATGAATCAACAGCCAGCCCTGCCTGTATGAAACTCCCCTTCTACATCCTACAGCAAAGCAAGAAGCATATGGATGTGATTACACTGTGCCGCAATGACAGATGTCGAGTAGATAAATGCTTATGAAAATATTTATAAAGAAGGCCACACCTCGGGATTAGAAAGCTTCTCACACTGACCCTTGGTGTGCTGTGTGCAGAGCTATATAGATGCGTAGGGAGGAGGGGTACAATTCTATAATCCTAGTATTCAGAAGGTAAGGCAAGAGGGCTAAGAGTTCCAGATCAGCCTGACCTACACAGTGAGATTCTGTCTTTTCTTAAAAAAGATGACAGGGAAGGGACTGGGATGTAGCCTAGCAAGGTCAAACCCTGGGTTCAGTCCCAACACTACAAGTAAATTCAGAGGCTCTTTTTAACAGGACTTATCGGGGGTTGGGGGCTGGAACAACCCCAGATAAACTCTACAAAGTCCATCTCCTAACCGTATAGTGACAGTCTGTAACACCAACGAAATGCTTTTGATAATGACTGCTCGTCCACATTAGGATCTTCATTATTATCTTGTTTTTTTTTAAAGACAAAATGAAGAACAATGGAAACACATGTCCATAGACCATATAATCTCCATTTTGCATTTAGAACTAAAAGCCTAGAGTTAACAATTAAATTATGATGGGTTAGTTGCGAATGTGGATCCTGAATAGGTTTGGAAGTAGCTGTAGAGGGGCCTTTTCACTGAATCACACCCATTTTTATAAACTAAATTCTGTCAAGTATCATTAGCCTTGAGGCTACTGGAAGATTTTCTTTGATCAGATGAGCTCGAAAGAAAAAAATTAAAAACCTTGATTAAAAACAAATGGAAAAATTTAGGAAATTCATCAGTTTCAGCTTAGGAATATCTAATTTTCTCTCCATACTTTCCTTAATATTCTCCATAAATTCCTAAAAGTCCTAAGACCTTTACTTTAGTATTGCCATAAATAAGTGATCCAATAAATGGTTATATTTTTATCGCAGAGAAAATGCTGAGTGAGCTTGGCCTTCTAACCTCTCTCTACCAGCACTGACGAAAGCATCAGGCACGTGTCAGAAGACACACAGGAGTAAGGCACCATTTCAGAGTAGTGTCGGTCTGCTGAAGGAGGCTGATCAGCTTTGCTGGTAGTGAGCACAGCAAGAGACGGGTAGTAAACTAATGGAGATGCGAAAAGATCACAAGCTAACGATCACAACAAGCATGGAGACCTTCCAGGGAGGCCAGTCTTCCATGCCTCCGCAGCTCCCGAGAAAGCACCATAATTCATTCTTTCTGATGTTTGTCTTAAATACTGATTTCCAGAGAAAGAAAGGAAAGAGAAAATATACTGAATACTGGATTGTAAGTTTGGAACTGATTAGCATCCGACAGTCCTCATCACATTCACAGGACACCTACGAATAGTTTGGTTTGGGCCTGCCTACTCAAGTGACTTGTTTGGAAAGTGTGCAATCTTCTCTGTAAATGGTTCCCAGTGTTTTAGAAGCTGTTTCTTCCTTTGTAATGATGTGGTACACTCTCAACACCCACTCAAGCGCCGACCACCCAGTATTTGTTTACTATATCCAGGGAGCCATGGAGCCATTAGTCAACTCTGTCTTTTCCACACTCCCACCCACTTGCATCCCACCAGAGCACCTGCAGTGGCTCATGGGAGTGGCGCAACAAATGTTTCAGAAAGAAGAAAGCCAAGAAGAAAAGAAAGAAGAGGAACTGACAAGAGACTGGGGACTCTTGTGAGACCTCTTCAGACTGCTCAGAAAGCTGTCTCACAAACAGGAAATAAAAACAGCTCTACATGGGCCACAGGACCATGAAGAGGGATAAGAGCCAGAACACTCAGCTGAACACACAGACCAGATTTTGAAAACAACTGTTACCACAGTGTGCTTATGAATTAACTTACCTGACACATTCATTCAAGTATTCATTGAGCCTCATATAAGCTGCCCTTCTCCTGGCCTCTCCCCAGCAAAAGAAGAAAAGATAAAAAGAAGGAGGAGGAATGTTTTTTCTTCCCTTGTGCTCAGCAGTGGGTGTAAAACTTTTGTGTTAGGTCCTGTGTCTACTCAACTGCTTCTCAAAAGCAGTATCATGGTGACTGCACACATAACAATGGCCTCCAAGGCATGGCCTTCTCTGGACTTTCCCCCCTTGATATTTTACTTGTGGAGTCACTTGCTCATTCAAGAGTTGTTCCAGGTGTGGAAAAACCACCTCAGAGAAAAGTGGACTCTCCTTACCCTCACTGAGATTGTGTCACAATGTAGAGATGGAGAATGCATATTCAAAATCAAACGAATGAGATGCCAGTGATGAGTCCTAAAGAAAATGATGCAAGACAGTGACATATGCAAGATTGGAAACGCAGACCTTGTAGGCCATTCAGAAGAGACCCCAAACAGGAGTTGACTTTTCAGTAAATCCTGCAGGGGTTGGGAGCAAAGGGAATTCCACACCCATTTCTGAGCAGAGCTTTACAGACCTTGGGAGCTGATGGCATCAGGCCTTCTGCCTTTGAAAATGCTGAAAAAAAGGCTACTTGGCTGTAAGAACAAAAGTGAGGAGAGGAAAAGAAGAAGAGGGTGCAGAACAGCTACGTGCATGCCCAGGGGATTTTTCTTCCACTTAAGAAGCCAACGGAAGAGTGTCAGTGGAGCTATGTCTCAGTTGGCTTTCATTCCAACAGCCCCCTCTGGAAAAGAACAGGAAGAAAGCGTGAGTACAGACAGAACTGGCAGTGTAGGAACCTCTTCACCAGTGGTCCTCCATCAGCAAGCACTTCTGAGGCCACAAGATGGAGCAGAGTTCTGGATCCAATCTCAAGACCTTGCCTTCCTGGAGAGCTGTCAAGCAGCTGCACAATCTCCTCAAGTGGGACAGGAAAACCAAGCAGAAGAGAAGGAAAACCGAGATGGCAGCCTAAAGTCAGAGAGAATACGGGCTGAACCTGACTTAGAAGGGAGGTTGGGATACAGTCTTGTTTTCTCATAATCTTATTTGTTCAGCACTAAATAAAGACACTTTGAAAAAAAAATGTGTTGTTTTTCAGACAGTATCTTGCTATGTAGTACAAACTAACCTTATATTCATTCACAATTCTCCTTTCTCGGCCTTTCAAGTACTGAAACTACAGGCATCTCTCTCTCTCTCTCTCACACACACACACACACGCACACACGCACAGTAATTTTAATACCAAATTAAATACTGGCCATTTCAGTTTTTAGTATTTTTTACAAAATAACTAGAAACATAATTTCAAATATAGAATGCTATACAATATTGATATGCTACGTTTGTCCATGTATTGGCATTCTGAGTATTTATCTGTATGAATGCATGGATGCAGATGCATGCGCACATGTGTTCATCATCACGTTTGTATACATAGACATATAATGCACAGGTACATTCACCTTATACCTAGACATGGTATAAAAATCACATATAGAAAAACAAAGATTGATAAATGCAGATCTACTCATGAACCAAAGACATATGATCCAGCCAGTGAGTCTCCATTTACAGAAAATCAACTCAGCTGTTCCAAGTTCCTTCATCTTAATGGAGATCTTTGACTAACAGCAGAAACGTGAGGCATAGAGGCAGGGCGGGGGGGGGTGGAAACCCAGAGTGTGAAAGGGTGTTATATAAAGGGGATTCCAAACATGAGCTAATGAGGTGTACCAGATGTTCAAAGGGACCCATGGGTGTATCTCAATGGGCCAGGGAAGAAGGGCAAGCAGAAGGAGCGGGGAGTTTAGTCTTAAGGCAACTTGTTAGAATAAGCTTGATAGAAACCTAAATAAAGCCTATGGGCATATTTACTGCTGGTTCATGATCCTGTACTTGTGATTTCATAACTGTTGCAATGAAATCAATGACCAGTTCCACTACCTTGCTAGACACAACAGATGCATCAGATTCTGCTCATGGGAAGGTTGTGAGGAATACAGAATCAAAATACTAAAGGAAAAACTTGTAGTTTGATCTGCACAATGTCCTCAGCTAGGTACTGACTTGTGCATCTCCATATAA